AGTTCATGCTGCGGGCCGCAGGCAGAGGGCGTAGCTGCCATGGCTCTGCTGGGCAATCTGCGGTGGGCCCCGGAGGCAATGAGTAGCCTTGCGGGGGGCGGGGCAGGGGCGGGGCAGGGGCGGGGCAGGGGCGGGGCCAGTTTTGGGGCACTCAGTCTCTAAAAGGTTCACCATCACTGCGTTAGAAGAATGTATTCCTGTTCAGATTTTTAATTTTTTTTTGCTTATTTCATTCATGCATTTCTGTACTGTTTTTGTTAATTCATCCGACTGAACTATTGTGCCATGTTTAGCATTTGAAAACCGTCAGTCTCTTTGAGTCTTTGGTAATAGGGTTGCTATGTTTGTGTGTGTGCGTGTGTTCATTAAATAAATAAATCTTACCCTCCAAATATGTCTAGCAAAGCAGTTCTAGATTGCATTACAAGGCACTTCCTTGCGCACCTATTTTTGGCAGCCAGTGATGTAGCAGGAGTTAGGAAAATCTTGATTCTATTAATGGAGATATACTTTGTTTGATATTACCTTGTGAAGGTCATCTGCAATTTTGGTGAGCAATCACAAGTTTGTAATACTAGGGAGGATGAAAGATTGCACTGGGCGGAGGTTTGGTTAACTACGTGTCAACCGCTGTTGAACAATGGATGACTGGAATAGCAGGCGACAGTGTTTTTCAACCTTGGCCACTTTAACATGTGTGGACTATAACTCCCAGAATTCCCCCACCAGCATAGTCAGGCACATTCTGGAGTTTGTTTGTTTGTTTAATACAGAAAGCCCTCAACCTACAACAGTTCATCTGGTGACCGTTCAAAGTTACAGCACTGAAAAGAGTGACTTATGTTATTTATATTTTATGGTAGTCGTTGTAATGAGATAAGTTAAGATTGAGATTAGAGTGATGTTATTGTAAAGGTTTTTTCTTCTTATTATATTAGTAGTTAATTGTGAATATGAACTGTGATGTATGTCAAATCTGATTTACCATGTTCAATGTTTTTAATTTTTGTTATTCAATAAAAAAAATTATTTTATTTTTTTTAAAGAAAAGAGTGACTTATGAACATTTTTCACACGTAGAATCAAAATTCCGATGCTTGGCCATTGGATTCATACTTATGACTGTTGCTATGTCCTGGGGATCACTTGATCTCCTTTTGTGATCTCCTGACAGGCAAAGCCAATGGGGGAATCCAGATTCCCTTAACAACCAGGTTACTAACTTATCAACTGCAGTGATTCACTTAACAACGGTGGCAAGGAAAGTAGTAAAATGGGGCAAAACTCACTTAAAAACGTCTCAGTTAACAACAGGAAGATTGGGCTGAATTACAGGCTGTAATTTATTTATTTATTACATTTATGGACCTCTCATCTCACAATCCGATGGGGTTGTATCGAGCAAGCAAGTTTCAGAAACATGAAATGAATTTGATAGAAGGAGAAAACAAATACAAGACCCAAAAGCCACTTTAAACTTTGTCTTTTGCCTTTTTTAAAAAAATTACATTTTGGAATCTTCAGAAAACTCCTAATGTGCAAGGTTGACTGTTTTGTATTACGATTTATGTCAGTGGTTAGACAACAAAAGGAAATGAGTTGCTTTTACTGTATATTGTTATATATTTCAGGCTAAGGTTAGGTATCATTCACATACAGGTATTCCTCCACCTGTGGTGCACAATTGGGGTGAGAATTTCCGTGGCTAAGCGAGGCTGTTGCTAAGTGAATTGCAGGCAACTTTACAATGTCTTTAGCCACACCTATTAAGCAAATCACTACAGCAGTGGTTCTCAACCTTTCTAATGCTGCGACCCCATAATACAGTTCCCCCTGTTGTGGTGACCCCCCAACCACTTATACATCACTGGGTGCCAGGGGCGTGGCCAAAGAAAAGGGGGAAAAATGGCAGACAGCCTTGTTTGGCGACCCCTGTGAAATGGTCGTTCGACCCCAAATGGGGTCCCGACCCACAGGTTGAAAACCACTGCACTACAGCTATTTAAGTGAATCATACGGCCATTAAGCAAAACTGCCTTCTCCCATTGATTTTGCTTGTCAGAAGCTATCTGGGAACATTACACATGGGACGCCAGGATACTGCAACTGTTGTAAATACACACCTGTTGCCAAACCCCCAAATTTTGATCACATGACTAGGGGATACTGCGATTGTCATACTGTAAGAGGAAGGACTGACCAGAAGTCACTTTTTCATTAACTTTGAATGGTCGGTAAACAAATGGTTATAAGCTGAGGACTACCTACAATGTGATCATCGGTGTCAGGAGAGAACCGACATCTGAACAGTCTCGATATCTTATGGAGACATCTCCATCATCCAGATCATGGTTGTCCCAAAGGTGGAGTTTTATTTTTTTTCTCAAAAGGCATCTGGAAAGGTCCAATTGTCTTTTGAAAAATAAAAAATAAAAATATGGAACGCTTCATGAATTTGCAGGCTCCATGCTAATCTTCTCTGTATCGTTCCAATTTTAGTATATGTGCTGCCGAAGCGAGCACAATATGCTGTTTGCTAAATATTGAGGATGTTATTTTAAAAAACCCTAACCCCAACCCTAATCCTAATCCTAACCCTAATCCCAACTTGGAGAATTGTAGAACCTTCTTGCATGAGAAGCAATATGTCTTCAGGGGCAAACAAAATTCAGTTGCCTTTTGGAAAAGGCAGGCTTGGGTTTTTTTGTTTGTTTTTTTGTCTGAACCCTTGGCTGTTCTTGCTATGTAGTTCTTTTAATTTATACTATTAAAATTATTTTGCTCTTCTGGGCTTTGATCCAATTCATTTGGATGTTTCAAAATGATTTAGGAAAAAAAAAATCTTTGGGCAAGACTAAACAGAACAGCGGAGAAGTGAAAGCATGATGTTGTAACTTTTTATGAACATCAAAAACATTTTTATGCTGGATTTCCCTACACTGGTACTCAAATTTTGAAACCATCCCATAAAAACACAAACCAGGTCAATACTGTACATCATATAAAATTCATTCATAAAATAATGGGCTGTTTTGTTGTTGTTGTTGTTTTTTCTTTACTGCTGCAAATAGATTCCCAGTCATGAAGCAGGACTTTTTAGCATCCTCTTTACTGTTGTTTCCTATGCATCCTGTAAAAAGAAGGTGATGCTTAAAGGCTGAGATTAATTCTTAGTGAATTACTGCAAGAAATGATGAGAAAGCCACATGCAAATATCCTCCCCATATAAGTGCATAGTACTTTCCCCTCTAGCACCCTTTAATCCAGCCTCTTACGTGAAATAATGGCCAAATAAGCATCATGATGCACATCCCCAACTTCTCACAGGCTGAGGTACATGGGAAACTCAGTGATATCATCATTTATTTGCCAAAATAATAATGGAGGGAGGCCTCAACCTATGACCACAATTGAGCCCAAAATTTCTGCTACTAAGTGAGACATTTGTTACCTGAGTTTTGTCCCTTTTTTACGACCTTTCTTGCCACAGATGTGAAGTGGATCACTGCTGTTGTAAAGTTAGTGATACTCTTGTGGAAAACCAAAGGACTCTTACGAATTCCAGAGGGTTTTAGCAGAGAGATTTATTGCGCAGGTTCAGAAGCAATAGCAACAAGCAATTCTGAACCCTGAGGGCAGGTTCAGACTTCAGTTTTATACTTTCCTTTTTTTTCCTCAGGAACAAAGGAATACACATTGAAATACACATTGTAATACATTAGGTTCGTTTCTCATGGGTATACAATGGAGAGTTTGCTACATACATTGTATCCAAGTGCAATGCGCATTAGGTTAGTCATATACTACTAACACAGCACTATTCCAGTAATTATGCAGACACATCATTATTCTAGTGCTTGTTCATTATTCCACATTAATACGGTTGTTAAGTGAATCTGGCTGCCCCATTGACTTTGCTTGTCAGAAGATCACAAAAGGAGATCACATGATCCCCGGGACGCTGCAACCGTCATAAATATGATCCAGTTGCCAAGCGTCCAAATTTTGGTCACGTTACTATCAAGAGGCTGCAAGAGTCACAAGTGTGAAAAAGTCACTTTTATCAGAGCTGCTGTAACTTCAAACGAGGACTACCTGAAATAAATGAATTAGTTCGTCGCAGTTACATATTTAATAAACTTGTACGTCACACGTCTGATTCTGCAAACTTTCAAGCAAACATATCTGAGTAGTAATTCAAAGGAAGCACATTGGGAGATGTTTGACAGGCCCCAAAGGTGCTTTTTCAGGAGGCAACTGGACTTTCTCATTTTTCTTTGAAGGAATTTTGCTTCTCATCCAAGAAGCTTCTTCAGCTCTGACTGGATGGTAGGGAATGGAAGGATTTATACTCCTTGCAGACAGCTGGTCATTTGCATCCTTCTAAGAGAGTCGTGAAGGCCCCCTGGAGGTTTACCTGTGTTCTCAGGGTTCCCTGAGTGGTGCAAATGGGAATGCAGCCTTCATGACTGCAGGATGTTTTCTGCCCGGGATCCCTTCACTGTTGAAGACAGGTGCAGGCTGTTGGGGATGAGTTTGCGTTGTCTGAATCTCAAACTGAAGCTCAAATGGTTCCTGTAATCTGCAATGTTTTCTGGAAATCTATTCATACTCCCGCATCATTTGAAGGGTGTTCATCCCAAAATGCATAGCTAAATGTCTATGGAGATTCTCAGTCATCCAGGTCATGGCTTTTTCAGAAAAAGCACCTTTGGGACAACCAAGATCTGGATGACTGAGAATCTCCATAGACATTTGACAGGATCCACATTGCAAGAAATGAACCAATGGGGGAACCCAATCTAGGTGCAACTGATTTAACTTTGTTTTTGATGATGCTGTGATTCCTCACAGGTTGTTCTTTACTTCCACCATTGCTGTAAGTGTGTTGCCCAGAAAAGGCACTGCAGTTTCGGAAGGAGACAGAAAAGTCTCCGTGCAAAATAGTTTCTGATTGCTTGGTTAACTTTCTCTCCCCTCTTTCTCTTGAATTCTTTTAGCAGACAGACGATGCAGCACAGACCGACGGTCAGCAACAGACACAATCTTCTGAAAACACAGAGAACAAATCACAGCCCAAACGGCTGCATGTTTCAAATATTCCCTTCAGATTTCGGGATCCAGACCTCAGACAAATGTTTGGGGTAAGCAATGGTTTCCTTATAACTTTCTACTTTTGCTTTTCTTCCTTATTTATGTTCAGTATGTATCTATGTATGAATTCAGCTGTTATGGCTGCCCATCTCATTCTCAACAATTTATTGAAAACCAACCTAGCAAAAACATTTTAGACAAGAGTTCGTCTAAACATTATTCAACATGTCAAGACCCAGTTCCTCATTCAAGGATGGAGGTGAGGTGGACCAAGTTCCTGGCCCCAGTGCCTGGGGGAAGAGCCAGATTTTTAAGTTTTCTGAAAAGCTAAAGTCAAAGTCATCCAAACCATGGGGGAAAGTGCAATTGGAGAGGCCCAGGCACTATGACATCCCCTTAACAAAGCATGGCTCCTTCAGCTGCTAGAACTTAGTTGGGCAACCTCATTTTAATGCTGAACTGAAGATAGACTTCTATGCAATTTATCTATCTGCTTGTTTTTGGTATTCCATTCCTGGTGTTGGTCTGCAGAAAACAAAAGAAAAAATAAAGGAAACAAAAGAAAAAGAAAAAAATATCTTAAAAAGTATCACATCTTATACAGCTTATGGACTCGTGAAGGTAACACCTATGCTTTTAGATGAATGAAGTGGATTTCATAACCTCCATAAAAGTTTATGGCATAAGAGATGTGCTCTTAGCTTTTATCAAATCTTTTAGTCCTGAAATTGATAAAGGGTGCAGTTTAACACACATTTTATCTAAGGGCACATCCCATCAAACTGAGGTTGAACCGAAAAGGAATGTCCTGTGGCTCTTCTGGAAATTATTAGAAGCCAGTTTCCAAATTCTGGTAGTGCAGAAGACAGCAGATGGAAGAGCCACAGGCTGGCATGAACATAACTCTGAAATAGTAGAAGGTTCCTTTGCTAACTGAAGCAAAACAGCAAATTCTTCTTTCAAAATATGTGTGGTTCAAATGCAGGATCATCTGTGTTGAGCAAATATGACTACCCAGTGAGGAAACTTCCCAATATCAAGTGAAAAGATGGCATGTAGGAGCTGAAACACGGATAGTGTCTTAACTGATGTGTCAAGAATACCATGCTCCATCAGAAAATGGAAGAGCAGAGGGACAGATTTTCATAAAACCATAGAGTTGGAAGAGACCTAACAAATCAGCTGCTCCCAATTCTTGCTCAATGCAGCAATCCTCACCCCATCTGGATCTGGAAGTCCCACAAGATTTTAGTCCTCTTATTCTCTACAACCATCTTCAGAATTTCTCATCTAGCCTCGAGAAAGTCTTGCCCACACACTCTGTAGATGCTCCTGTATACAATGCCAACTACAATGCTACCTCGCTACTCATTGTTAATTGATTATGAGAGGTGTGATGAGTACCAAAAGCAATGAGTACAGAACAAATTTTTCCCATAAGGAATAATGTAGCAAGTCACAAGGCAGCTGACACTGAGAAGTTGTAGCTTGTTTGTTGAGTACCAAACAAATGAGGAATACCAGGACAAAATGTTCACATCAAAATGCATTGAGTACCAAATTTGATGGGTTTCAAAGCAGTTGAGTATCAAGGTACCACTGTACTTGATTGTGCTGTTCAGTGTATGCTATTTCCAAAGTTTCTCAACTTGGGAATTCCCAATTAAGAAATAGAGAAAAAAAGAACTGCGAGAAACAGCACATATAGAAGGAAAAAAAAAAGAAATATAAGATGAGACTTCCAACTTCTTTACAGCAATTAAAAACAAATTAATTATCCCTCCTCCCTCTTTTAAGATTACTATACAACTTACTCACACAAAGGTGGACAAAGGGAACAAAAGTGTGGATGTACTTTCTCTTGAAACTAAGGCTAGCCCACCATTTAAGACTAATTTATCTTAATTCATTAACTAATTGCATTTTAAATGAATGAAGACATCATATTATTAATGGGTTCCTTTTACCATGTAAAAGGAAATAATTTGCAGTTCAATTAAGAGGCTTGTAGTGGGTTTGTTAATATTAATAGAAGGGTAAAATTTTAAATATATCCCTTTGACAGCAGCATCCCGGAGCCAAACTCATATTCCAAAGCACTTTCTTCTCAGAGAGTTGTGGTTTGTTTATTTATTTACTACATTTGTGTAACCATCCATCTGGCCAGTGTGACTCTGAGCAGCTCACAACAATTAAAACAACAACAGCCACGGTCAAAACAAAACACAACAACGTGCAATTCCCAAAACCGTGATTAAAAATTCAATAACATATAATCCCAGTCAACCCGTGAATAATATTTAATATAGTCATTGTTAAGGCTTACCACTGCTGTTGACTGCACAGCCAAGTCTTTTGTACCCTTTCCAAAGACTATAATAAATATTTGATTTGATTTGATTTAGGTGCCAATCTAAGTTCTGGGATAATGATGGGGTTTTTTTTCCCAAAAGATGGATATCATGACAAAAAAGCATCTCCTTCTGGATCCTGTCAAATTAAACTCCATAGTAGATGGAACTCATAAAATGCATCTCCTGCCAGATGTAATGTAGATGTAGGAAGATGTTCAAGGACAGGAAGTCTCTGTTCCTGTTATTATTGTTGTTAATATTATATTATTCAATTGAGGCTGAATCCATGTATTTCATAAGGAGAAGAGCTCAAAGTTGCTACCTAACCTTACTTGATTAATCTGAAGAAATCTTGAACTATTTATCTAGCAATTGTGGTTAACAAGCTGAAGTGAGTATTGTCTGGAAGTTGAAATCATGGCAACTAGATTTATTTTCTTGTTGGCTTGAGATGTTTCACTGCCCAGCCAAGCAGCTTCTTCCATCTGAGCAAGTTGGTTAGAGGAATCTGAGTAGATAGAAAGTTGTCGGAATGTGCCAACTCCTAAAATTCTTAGGGGTATTCCAGCACCAACCTCACGTTTTCTTCCTCAAAGGGTATTGCAATATGTCAATAAAGATTCTCAGTCATCCAGATAGAATTGTCTAGAAAAATAAGTCCAGGTGCCATGACTCAACTTCCAGCCAATTCTACCTGGATGACTGAGAATCTTCATCCACTTTAGTGGGTATTTTTATTCAGCATGATAAAACCAAAATAAAGAAACCTCATGATGGCTTAACCTTGTGACTTGAGACAAAACATAGTGAATTAACTTTTGGTTTAGTCACTGTGGTTTTGGAGCCCTTGTTATGGTTGACCATGTGCAAATGAAGTCTTTAATGAGCATATCTTTTGTATTATTTGGTATATTGGTTCTCCTCCTGACATTGTTTGCCAATGTTCCAGGCCGCTTTATGAAGTCATCTTAATGACATGTGAAATAACCAATGATGACAGTTTGAATGATGTATATTGGAAAATATCAGGGCTTTTTTTTTTCTCCTTCAAAGATCACAAAGCCACTGGCGTTTTTGTCAAGGTTCCGACGGATGAACCCAACCAAGCAAACGCCTTGGAGACATTCTGATCTCTTAATGTAAAACTTTATTGAGTACATCAATTTGGCATTAATGAAAGCAAAACCAGCTCTAGCCAGACCCCACCCAAACCCCTATAGTAAAAGCATAGAATTCTTCCTCCTTCCTCTTGGTCAGGAAACATTACCCAATCAAGCAGGGAAATATTGTTATGAAAAGACATCTTCAAGTCTACCCGCATGCCTGGTAGAATGTCCTTGAATCTCATGGTCTGGCTTCTTGATCTTCGCAGCTCACATTCCAATCCTTTCCTCCCCCGCCCATCCCCCCAGGTTCCTTAGCAAGTTGAGAAGCAATAATTTTCACACCAGTAAGACTGTGCTTTGAAACCTGACAGTTTTCCTATTAAACATTACCCAGTTTTAGAAGTTCACTTTTCTCTTAATTCAGAGCCAATGAAATTCCTTAATTATGAGATTAGATTAACGTGTCCTCCTGCTTAGAGGGAAACAGAGATGTATGCAGCAGTTACAACGGTTATCAAAAGTGAAGTGTTCTTCTTAAAAGTTGAGTTCTCCATTTTCTCATGCCTGAGTATTTATCTTTGTGTGAGTTTCTTCGTTCAGTTTGTTGCAAGACACATTGGTTGCCTTAGAGATGCTTTCAAAACACAAGAGAATGTCAACAATGTTCTCCTGGGTATGAATGTGGAACTTCTGCTTTTAGTTATTCGAAAAATGGACAGCCTATCTCTGCCAATGTCCCATTTTTTCATTTTACAGTTCTTTCTGCATTTTTCTGCAGTCTACTTGTTGTTACAGATAGAAGATATCCTAAGATAGAAGACATTCTTTTTTCAGTACTAGTAAGCAGTGCTTCTGCTGCTGAAGAGAAAATTCTGCCCTTGGGAAATGCTTGGAGATTTTTTTTGTTTCATAAATAAATTAATCCACCCATTGTTCACCAGTTTCATGGGAAAAGCTGAAAGACCAGCTCTACTGATTCAACACAGCTAGTCCTGCATCCTACTCCAGGTTGAATACACCTACACAACTGCCCACCCCCCACACCATTTAATAAATGAAAGCAGTGTTGAATTTTTCATTTCCTCTTTTGAGCTCACTTATAATTCTTGGAGAAGAAAACTAAAAGGGAATAATATCATTCCAAAAGAGTTAGTACTACTTTATAAAACCTTAGTAAGGCCACACCTGGAATACTGCATCCAGTGTTGGTCACCATATTGTAAAAAAGATGCTGAGACTCTAGAAAAAGTGCAGAGAAGAACAACAAAGATGATTAAGGGCCTGGAGACTGTGAATAGTGGTTGCAGGAATTGGGTATGTCCTGTTTAATGAAAAGAAGAACTAGGGGTGACATGACAGCAGTCTTTCAATACTTGAGGAATTGTTACAAAGCAGAGAGGATCAAACTATTCTCCAAAGCATCTGAAGGCAGGACAAGAAGCAATGGATGGAAACTCATCAAGGAGAGAAGCAACCTAGAACTAAGGAGAAACTTCCTGACAGTGAGAACAATTAACCAGTGGAACAGCCTGCCTCCAGAAGTCATGGGCACTCCATCACTACAGGCTTTCAAGAAGAGACTGTCATCTGTCCGAAATGGTATAGGGTCTCCTTCTTGTGCAGGGGGTTGGACAAGATGACATCTAAGGTCCTTTCCAACTGTTATTCTGTTACTGTAAGATAGTGAGGATGATTTGTCTCTGTGTTATTACACACACAAGGAGCTAGGTGCAGACTCTCTTTCATTCCACATACATACAGACATACCAATAAAAAATAAACCATTATTAGGTCTTCTGAGGAGAAAGCAGCATTGAAAATAAATAAGCACAGATGATCTGAAGCTATTCCCTCTTCTGTTCCTGCAAATCGACAATCAGAGGCGCCCCTTGGAACACCAGATGGTTACACAATCATTCCAAAAAATTGTTCCAAAGAATGAACATAGTCTTCCATTCAAGCAGGGGCAAGGACATGTGTGTGACAGGTAGAGCACCCCAACATTTGAACAACCACAAAAATAAGCCCACCTTCTCTTATCTTCTCCTCTATGCATCTAAAAGAAATTCTGCTTTCTAGAAAAGAGAAGGAAAAAACAACACAATTTTGACTGGGATAGGAGTGTTACTTGGAGAAAGAAGAAGACTACAGCAGGAATTGTTGGGAATTAGCAGTTTTATGAAAATCCTTTTTTTTAAGCAAAAAAAAATTAATTGTTAATCTTTATTGACCTATTTCCTACCACTGTCTATTCAAGCATGACTTACTAGGTGGCATCTGTCTTCTTAGAATTGCCACTTGTTCTAATGATTGCTTAGGTTAAGTATACAGTAACTAGTTCAGTTTTACTTTTTCATTTTGCTATTTTGAGATCTACCTGGACAAATGGAACACATTGTCTGTGGCCAAGAAGACAACAGAGGACAATGTCAGAGAAATAAGTGTCACTAAATTAAATATTGTTTTTGGCAAAACCTGGAAAACATTTAGAGTCTGATCTTCGCCAACGGTGTTAGAAAAACATAACAATTAATATGTTCTTCCTAAGAGTGGGTCCTCCAGATCTTGCTATGGCTTCTCAAAATGATTGAACCTTTATTGAAAGAGCACCAAATATTCTACAGATTCATTGGGTAGCAGAGAAAACAATGATTGAAGAGAGAGCACTCTGGCTTCAGAAGCTATAAATAAGGAGTATGCCAGTAAGATCTACTGCAAATCGGTTGTTTGACTTGATCAACTTGGAATTGACTCAGTTCAAATTTTCAGTCTGAATTGCCAAATCAATCTGACTAGAGCACATTCATTCCATTTGACAAAAGCCACCAAATTCTCAGCTGCATTTGAAGGCAACCTATTTGATTTGACAGTTAAAATCAGTGATCCAATTTGGAAAATCAATTTGATTCGCAAAAATTAATAAATTGCCTTTTCAATGTGGGATCTGTAACTCTTCGCAAAAGCTCTATCACAAATTATTCATCTACTGCAGTGCTTCTCATCCCCAGCAACTTTCAGATGTGTAGACTTCAGCTGGCTTGAGAATTTTGGAAAATGAACTTCATACCTCTTGAAGTTGCCAAAAAACGTTGATCTCCTGCAAAATCCTCACACAGAGCCAGCCATGAGTCAGGATTTGTTATCTACCAGTTTGTGAGAGATACATCTGCCTAACTTCAACATTACTAGGCAATCTTCCTTTACAAGGATCTACAATTTACAGCAGGGGTCTTCAAACCTGGCCCTTTTATGACTTGTGGATTTCAACTCCCAGAATTCCTCAGCCAGCTTTGCTGACGAATTCTGGGAGTTGAAGTCCACCTGTCATAAAAGGACCAAGTTTGAAGACCACTCATTTACAGCTTTAGGGACAAAGTCTTCTATGAGAGAATATATCCCACAGATCCCGTCTACAGTCTGCTGAGAAACTGCCATCCCTAATATGACAGATGGGAAATATAGCTCTATTAATGTATTGAATCCTATTTAATTTTCATTTAAATTAAATTTTAATCAAACTGAAGGTAGCTTTTGCCTCAAGCTTACTTTTCAGAGGACATCCTTTAAACCAGATGCAGCTTGCAATCTGCAAATGATGCCAGTTTTTATTTATCCTACAATGATGCTTATTAATTAATCTTACCTCTGCCATCCAGGTGTTGTTTTTAATTATTTTAATGTCTTGATTAACTTATTATTATTTTACTTTGGTTTTAATTAAAGAGAAGAAATGGAAGAAAGCATAAAGAACGGAAAGCGTGCATATTTAACTGTATCAGAGAATTTGTTTTTGGCACAATCTTTTACCAACAGTATCCCAAGAAGATAAAAAAAATGTGGATGTTATGCTGCTTTTTTTGGTGTTAAAATGTTTTCATGGGAAACTGTTTGGAAGAGGGATAAATAATTTAAAATATGTAACAGGTAGAACATTGTTGCTTAGCCCTTCATCTTTTGATAGTAAGGGCTGTTTACAGAATGTAAAAAAAAAACTTCCAAATAAAAATTCAACAAATTCAACAACAAAAATTATGAACTGTGTTATGCAGAAGGCTCCAAATGCTTTAGGAAAACAATCCCAATTATAAAAACGGCCCAAACAGATTTTACCTAGAACTTAAGTAAGGTAATATTGATACCAATCGCACCTCCTTTTAAAGATTTGCATAAACATGCAAGTCTTTCAGTATTCATTTAGTTTCCCTTGGTAAACATTGCTTAAAATGAAGAAATGTTCCTTCCATACAAATTTAAATGATCCTCGTGACATTTTTTTTAATCAATGCTCATGCGACTTTTCTGTTTCTTTGCAGCAATTTGGTAAAATCTTAGATGTTGAAATTATTTTTAATGAGCGAGGCTCAAAGGTAAGCAACTGAATAAACTTGTGGAAATGTTTAATGAGTTGAAAGTGTTTACTGAAAAATCAGAGGAAGCAAATACACAAGAGTATTAAAACCTCCTTAACTATCTCCAGGTTTTTGAGGGGATGAGGGATATCATTTACCCAAACAGCAAGAAATTTATTGGTCTAATTCTGAGTCCCTTACAAGGGATAATTTTAACTAAGATGAGTTGTCACCAGTTAAATAGGAATATTGCTTTCTGCTTTTAAATATAATCAAATGTTGTCTGCTGAGTTCCTTTCCCATCTCCAATAATTGCCACATTCATTGTGAGATTAGTTCAAGCTTGCAGTGAGGAGAGATGGATCATTAGAACAGATACGCTGCTCTTGAAATGGAAGCAAATAATATAATTTAATATCCTCTGAAGCAATTACTCGATCAAGGATGAATTATGAAATTGCCAGTGTTTGCGTGTTTAATCAAAGTTGTTTCTGAATTTAAAGATATGTTTTTGTTTTCCTAATTTGAAAGGTGAAAGATTTTCCCGATACTGACTCAAGTACTTAATTTCCATTTAAACCCACATATATAGTTGCCCCATTTTCCTACACTGTATTATACTGTTATTATATTATACTAGATCATATGGCTGGATTGATAAATTATCCATCCAGTGGGGTGCAGAAGTAAGCTTTTCACTCACGTCTCCTAAGGTTATTCAGCGGGGTGTATGTCAAAAGCTCAAGAGGGCAGTTGTGGCTGCACAATCAAAAACCTCATCCCATTGTGCTTTGCACATAACTTCAACATATATACAGAGGTGGAGGGACAGCTTTGATCATACAACTGTAACCTTTGTCTTTTGATTCCCTCCCTCTGAAGCCCCTGGCAGGCCCATTTAACATGTACTCTATTGGCTTTATGTTAGATATAAGCTAGAGTGAAAAAAAAAATATTTGGTTGCTCAAATATAATTAATCAGTGAGGCTCCCAGGATTCTCCTTGCTATTGAGTTAATAATTAATCCTATAAGAGAGAATAGTTACCCTTACAGGTATCCTTGATGTACAACCATAATGGAGCCTGTCTGTTAGGCTCATATGTTGTAACGGTTGTAAAGCAGCCCAGTCACGTCACATAACCGACCTGATTTTATGACCTTTTTGTGACAGTTGTTAAGTGAACATGGCAGTTGTAAAGCAATTGCCGTGCTCATTAAGTGGATACTGTAATCATTAAAGTGGTTTGCTATGGGCACAGCTTTGCCGAAAATTGGATGTAAAGACCATGTTTTTTTAAAACAAAAATGTCGTAAAAAGAATCCCATGAATATGGGATACTGCAAATGGCCATATGGGCAACAGTGTTGCCAGGAACCCAAAGTTTGGCCACATGACCAGAGGGGGCCCAACCATTGGAATTTTGAATCTGGATCATAAGTCCCCCCCTTTTTTGGGAGGTTGGTCCTAACTTTGAACAGTCTCTGAATAACTAGTCATAAGGACTAGCAGCCAGGCCCTCAGGAAAGCAAGACTTTTGAATCCGTCGAGTTGAATCAAAAGAAGTTTTACTGAGAGAAACTGGATGCAGTAAAGTCAGGCAGAATCTGAAGGCTCCACACAAAGTGTAAAGCAATTCTTTCACTTTCCCAATCCCAGCCCCCTTGACCAGTCCACTGGCAGCCAATGTGATGCCGAAAAGAAGTTTTGAGAATGCTGAGGTGCTGAGTAGATAACAGGTCACTTTCAGGGCACAACGGCCTTGGAACCTGGCAAGAACCGGCTGGGAAGGAGCCCATCCCATCTCTGAAGACAGTCCCCCTCCCAAATTCCCAAGCATGCCATTCCCCCCTCCCCTCCTCAGCACAATGGCAGGACACCAGAGTACGAATGGTGGACCTGATACTACCTATAACTAGTTTGTTTTTACCTGAAATACATATAGTCCTTGACTTACAACTTTTTGTTTAGTGACCATTCAAAGTTACAAAGATACTGAAAAAACTGATTTATGACCGTTTTTCATACTTACCACCATTTCAGCCTGGTCACGTAATCAGAATTTGGGGGCCTGGCAATTGGCATGTATTTATGATGGCCACAGTGATCACCTTTTGTGACTTTCTGACAGCAAAGTCACTGAGAAAGCCCGATTCCCTCCTCAAGCCGTGTTACTAACTTAACAGCTGCAGTGATTTATTTAACAACTGTGGCACGAAAGGTCGTAAAATGGGGCGAAACTCACTTAGCGAATGTCTCATTTAGCAACAGAAAGTTTGAGCTCAGTTGTGATCGTAAGGTGCTCCTCTCAGAAATGCTGTGGTCATAAGTTAAGGATTACCTGTATGGTAATTTGAATCCCCTGGTCCTTTGAGGCCAAACTGAGATTCTTCTCAGGTCATTGTTATGGTGGGCAGGATCTCTGCCCCAACTGAGAAATTTTAACTAGACCAAGAATATGGATTGTGCTTTGGCATTATTGTCCATCACCCAACCTCAAGGTTCTCCTAGAAGAGAATATTTGTAGTCCAGAGTTACCTGTAGGCTCCTTTGTGCCCTCTCAGATTGGTGGTTTTCTTGCAGACATTTCATTACCAAACTAGGTGACATCATTACCAAGCACTAATGATCTTACCTAGTGAATAGAATAGAATAGAAGAGAAGAGAAGAGAAGAGAAGAGAGGATGTAGGAATAGAATAGAATAGAATAGAATAGAATAGAATAGAATAGAATAGAATAGAATAGAATAGAATAGAATAGAATAGAATAGAATAGAATGGAATGGAATGGAATGGAATGGAATGGAATAGAATACAATAGAATACAATAGAATACAATAGAATAGAGGATGTAGGAATAGAATAGAATAGAATAGAATAGAATAGAATAGAATAGAATAGAATAGAATAGAATAGAATAGAAATAGGAATGGAATGGAATGGAATAGAATAGAATAGAATAGAATAGAATAGAATAGAATAGAATAGAATAGAATAGAATAGAATAGAATAGAATAGAAGAGACCTTGGAGGTCTTCTAGTCTGTCCCCCTGCAGGAGAACCTATACCATCTCAGACAGGTGAATGTCCAGTCTCCTCTTGAAAATCTCCAGTGATGGAGCACCCATGATCTTTGGGGGTAAGCTATTCCACTGGTTGATTGCCCTCATTGTCAGGAAGTTTCTCCTTAATTCCAGGTTGCTTCTCTTTTTGATCAGTTTCCAACCATTGTTTCTCGTCCTTCCTTCTGAACAACCTGACCCCCTCTGCCTTGTGGCAGCCCCTCAGATACTGAAACACTGCTATCATGTCTCCCCTATTTCTTCTTTTCTTTAGACTTGCCAAACCCAAGTCCCATAGCCGTTCTTTGTATGTTTTAGTCTCCAGGCCCCTGATCATCTTAGTAGATCATCTCTGAATTTTTTCCAAAAGCTCAACATCTTTTTTTGTGATATGATGATATAGTTTGGTAATGAAATGTCTGCAAGAAAACCACCAAGCTCAAAGGACAAAGGACCCACCATCTCAAGGTTTTCAGCTCTCTATCCATACCCTCAGAAGTTTACATGACAATATTATAGACATGTAATGACTTCCCTTCAAATTCTCAACTCCTTTCTCTTAGAGCAAGGATAGGCAACCTCGGCTCTTTTATGACTTGTGGACTTCAACTCCCAGAATTCCTGAGCCAGCCACGCTGAGGGAAAAGGAAGAGGTTTCCAAGCTGAGCCATGCTGGCTCAGGAATTCTGGGAGTTGAAGTCCACGAGTCATAAAAGAGCCAAGGTTGCCTACCCCTGTCTTAGAGAATCCAGCCAGGTAGCTTTATTTGGGGCCGAAAGTTTTAAAATAGTATTGCCAATGTCTCCTGTTATTTCACAATGTCCTTGATGTACATGGTGTGAACATGTTTTTTGTTTCTCTTCCTTTGTTTTTGTTTTGATATCAAGGAGATGTCACGTTTTTTTTTTTTTCTGTCAAAATGGTAAATTTGGAAGTTGAAGCTGCCAGGTCCTATCTGTTCCAATGTGTAAAGCTGGTATGAATTGCTTAAAGTATTATGCTAAATATATTTTGGAAGGGTGAGTTATTGGCTTAGTAATTTTTCATTAAAAGATGAGTCCAGGCCTCCCAATTGGAGAATACTTTGTATATGGGCTTCCAGGTTGTGCAGTCACAGCTGAAGTATTCATTTCATTGCTGGCAGCAAATGTGGGAGGCTGTCTGAAGATGTGTCCCACAGTAAGGAACATAATAAATTATGGGAAATTGTTAATGGATGAGAGCCAGTTAGGTGTGGAGTTCAAAACCCCAGGCTAGAATCTGGGAGACTGAGTCACAAAGCAAGCTGGGTGACCTCGGGCCAGTCATTCCCTCTCAGCCCTATGAAGGAGGCAAGAACAAACCACTTCTGAAATCTTGCTAAGGAAACTGCAGGGACTCATCCAGGCGGTTACCAGGAGTCAAAACAGACTCAAAGGTACTAAAAAGAAAAAAAACTGAATTGATGTCTAGAAAATGAGAAAGTCAAGATTGTCTCTCAAAGATGCTTTTTCGAAAATCAACTGGACTGTTTTTTTCCCCTTGAGGAGAAAGAAGAAGGTATTTAACTTCTCATATAAGAAACTTCATTGGTTCTGGTGGGATGTTGGTGTTGAAAGGATTACTTCTGACAGATTTGGGGCGGGGGTGGGTGGGTTGGAAGGATTATATTCTTTGCAGTCATCTGGTTGTTAGCACTCCCTCTGAGAACTTTTGAAGCCACTTGGGGGTTTATCTGTGCCCTCAGGGTCATCTGAATAGGAGCGCAGTTGGTTGTGGAAGCTTCTTGGAACTAGTGAAAGGACTGTGTTTTAGACTGGGGGCATCTTATCCCTCCCCCTCTGTTGAATGAGGGTTATTCATTGTTAACATAAATGGCCTCTTTTTACCCCTCTTTCAAACCAATGGCCTTCTCGATCCAGAATGTGGACTTTGCTATCTTCAAAAGAGCAACAAAGATGATTAGGGGACTGGAGGC